GGGGGGGGGGGGGGGGGGGGGGCAGGAACTGTCCTTCATGGCTCAGGTAAGGGATTGGGCACTCAGAGTTTAGCAATTGCCCAAGGTCGACAGCTAGCCAGAAGCAGACCTGATCACACCCAAAGAGCATGGGGCAGAACCAGGTGATGGTAGTGGTAGTGGTAGGGAACCTGCCTCAGTTTTCCCATCTGCAACAAATCCTTGGGGAAGCCATGGAGTGAAATGGATCACAAGTTCAGCAGACCGTGGAGTGGCTGGTGGACAGGAGGGTGTTAGATTGAAGCACAAAGGACAGGAGTGTGGTCCTGAGCTGGAGCCCAGCTGAACCATGTTCCCACACCTGCAGGTCCCACCACCCTTCACCTCAATTTCTCATCTATGAGGACCACCTTGTAGGGGTGCACAATGGCTGGCCGTCACGCTTGACTGCTTACATGTGGGCCCACAACTGCTGCTCTGTTCCCCGGCCCTGCCACCCTCCCCCACTAGACTGTGGGGTCTCAGGGCCCTGCCCAGATGACAGCTCTGTGCACATCAGCAGGGTTAGCACCCCCACACCAGGCTGGGCACCAGATGGGAGCAGAGGGTGGGGCCAGCAGCTGCCTCCAGGCTATGCAGGGAGAGCCACAGAAACACACCCCAGCCTCCCCTGCAGGCTGAGTCACAGCTGAATCTGCTGGGAGGCTTCTTGGAAAGCTCTTGTTTCCAATCAGAGACATAGGTGAGGTGGCTGCTTCAACTCCTGTCTCTTTTTCTGACCTTGATGTGATGACTGCAACAGCAGCCACCTTGTGACCATGAGGAAAGGCCCAGGGACCCCAGAGATGCTGAACTCAGGGAAAGCATCAGCCCCTCGTCACGACCCTCCATGGCAGCTGCTGAACTCCCAGGTGTGGGCTGGAAGAAGCCTGGCAGTGTGCCCAGAGAAGCCAGGAAAGAGGGCTGCTGGCAACCCCACAGGGGCAGGACATGAACCCCACTTTGGAGACCTCTGCCCCACCCCCAGGGCCCTTTGAATCCTGCAGGATCACAGCCAGCCTGGATGGCCCCTGATCTGTGCAGCCTGAGTTGTGGTGGCTTAGCTAGGCTTTGGGGGACTTATACAGCAGTGAGGAGTGGGAAGGGGGTGTCCCTGGCCCCCCACATACCCTCAAACACAGAAGGGGGCCTAAGAATTCCACAGAATGTTCACAAACCCTTCTCCAAAGTATCCCACCTCCTCACTGCACACTTACTGGGCACTGAAGTCCAGAGGATGGCAACTCTGCCCATGTTGGTGGCCAGGGCTCAGGCAGCCATGCCATGACCACAGCAGGGCAGTGTGGGGCCAGTGGTTTGGGGGCTGCCGGGTGTCTCTGTAGGGATCTCTCTGCCCCACCAGGCTCCAGTCCACCACCCCTCGACCCCAACTGTAGTCTTCACCTTCCATTCACCTGGGCTTGCATTTCTGCATCTACGGCAGGGCTTAGGCCAACAACATTGTCTTATAGCCATCCTTGGTGGGGAAGCCCCCATGGAGTAAGGGGTACCAGGAGGAAGGGCCAGATCACCAGGCAGCAGGGTGGGGCAGCTGCTTCCTAAGCCCCTGGGTATCAGCACTTGCCTAGGCAGGTCGGGGCAGGCCCAAGCCAGGCACCAGCCAAGCCTTGCTGCGCCCGACCTCTGCCCAGAAACCACATCAGAATGGGGTGAGAGCACAAAGGGACAGCCACCAGGACTGCTCATGCCAGGCCCTTCTCATCCGTGATCCCACAAGACGAGGGGCGTGAGACAGCACGTGTAGCCAATGTGCCTTTCTCCAACAGCCTCCCTGTCTCTGCTGCCTGCTGTCTGAGATCCCCCAGGGCTGTGCTGCGTCAGCCAGACAAAGGCTTTGCCTCTTGGCCCATCCAGACGACAGGGCCCTGAGACCAAGCCCACCAGGTACTGGCCAGTACGCCTCCGAAAAGACCCAGTGCGGACACACAGGCCACCCGATGAGGGCTTCAGACCTGGAGAATCAGACAAGGGCACAACAGAAGTCATGGATTTGCAGGAGACAGGTATTGTGACCACAGGTGGTCAGAAACAAAAGGCACCGACATCTTGTAGAAGGTGCGGTGACTTCAACTTCTAGGACTAAACTTTGAGGAAAACTGCTGTTTTTAGAAACAGACTTTAAGGCCTCTGTACGTAGCTCAAGCTGTTGGCGAATGTGGTTTTTTATAACACTCTGAAAAGGAAAGTGCTTCTGCGTAATTTGGACAGGCTGCTGATACCTCCTACACACAGCCTTCCCCAGCCGAGCACACGGTGCAGCCTCTGACGGTGCAAGGTAGTGACGCAGCGACCACTGGAGGCCACCCTAGCCTGGCACAAGGTGTTGGACGGCACCTGGCAGCGTTGCAGGGCAGCTCACAAGCAACTGGGGAGGTTGAGGGGGGCCTCACTACACTTGGCACCCCAAGTCCACAGGGTTGAGGGGGCCTCCCCAATGAACCAGGAGTCAACCTCAGCCCTTCATGCCCTTGGAAACGGTCCTCTGTGGGGGGCGTCCGTACCTCTTGAAGACGACTCTAGAAGTGCACAAAATCAGGGCCTACTGCCGTATAAGCATTAGGAAACACACACACAATGGAACATCGAGAGCCACCATCCCCCAGCACATTTCAAAATAGGACGAGTCATCGTGTCAGGCTCATGTTGCGACCTGCTCTTGCTCCCTCTGTGCCGGCGTACCGCTGTGGGATGCCGTGTCGCGTGAGACTTGCTGGCACTGACCATTCTCTGATATCATGACAATGATACTTCTGTGCACCTACTTGTTGTTGTGCTTTGTACACATCCAAGATCCTAGAGATGCCCCCACACACTGAAGCATCTCCATTGCGGGTGAGGAGGTCAGCGTGGGCGGGGAGGGGCGAGGAGGGCATAGGAGCACAGCCCCAGCCTGCCAGTGGCCACGTGCGGGGACAGGCCAGGCATAGGGAGCACAGGAATTCATGTGTGTACATGCATGCATGCATGCACCCCACTGGCCTTGTTCTGAGTGCAGCTTCCAACAGGAAAGAGCTTTAAGGTGAACTATCATCATGTGGCACTTCCTGCCCAGTGCCAGGATACCCTCTCTGGGGAACAGCCTATGGTTTCCTCTCCCTTCCCAAAGTTAATAGTCACTGAGGTCTGGGGAGCCTGAGCTGGGCTAGGTCAGTTATCCTGATCAAGTGTTGGTCAGTCTTCCTAGGGCAGAGGCCCCACTGAGGTTGCCACCAACACTCCGAGGAGTGGCCTGAGACAGTCAGTGCTGAGGTGCCGCCTGCGCCCAGGCATGTGGTCACGTAGGCTACAACAAGGACGGACCACAAAGCCATGCTCAGTAAAAGCAGTCAGATGGGCGCACGAGGTATGACCCCACTGATGTGAAAGCACCAGAAGCAGCAAATCCGGACACGGTGGGTTGCAGGTGGCAGAAGCTGGGGGACGTGCCTGCCAGTGGCCATGGGGTTTCTTTCTAGGGCAATGGAAATGCTCTGGACTTGACAGGTGCTGGTTGTACAACCCTGTGAGTGTGCCAGATGCCGCTGAACTGTATACTTTAAAATGGTCCATGTTATGTGAATTTAGCAAAATAAAGTTTTTTCAAAAATGAAAGCGTTGGGTCAGATGGTTCTGTCTTCCTCATGCTGAGCAGCAAAGAGGGCTGAGGGTTCAAGTTCTTGGAGGCCTGGCCTGCAGAGCTGTGGCCGCTAGGGGTGTCGGGAATGACACAGGTGTACCTGGCCTGCTCCCGTGTCTCCCACACGCAGCTGGGTTGTGTTTGGACCATGGGTCATGAGCCCAGGAAAGTCTTGGTGCTCAGGCCTCACACTCTGTCCCCGTGGCTCCTGCAGTCACACGGCCTAGAGTAGAGAGCCCAAGGCTGTGCACCAGAGAGGAACATAGAGGCTCTGGAAAGGGACTGCACCCGCCCTGTGAGCTCCACCATGGGGACTTAGGCTGCAGGGAATGTCTGTCCTCTGTTTCAGGAACCCTGACCTTTGGCATCCAGGTGGGAGCAGAGAACCCCTCCCCACTCAAAAGCTGAAGCCCAGACACTGCTCTTTCCGGCCTTCCCTGCAGCTGCAGTGCAGAGCCCATGGGCAGTGTGGGATGGGGGACAAGAACATGCTTGGGGCCAGGGCCACGGCATATAGTCTCCCTTTACCAATGCCCACAGAGGACCTCTCAGGACCTCGACCCAGTCCAGACAGCTTCAGCCACCCTGCTCACCCGCAGTCAGCAAGGGCCAGCCCCATCCAGCAGTGCTTGAGGGCCTGGGCACTACACGATGCCCACTGCTGCGGGGCCTCTTCAGAGTCACGCATACCTTCTCTCCAGACGAGTGAGCTTCAGTCTGCACCCGGCCCCTGGAAATTGATGAACTCTTTACTTTGGTGTTTCCGCAATAATGGAAGAGGTCACTCAGCAGGAGGTTTTGTCGGGACGTACAAGTGCACTCAGAGGTCACTGCAGGTGCGAGAACTGGGCTAGATTACCCAGAGGAATGGACACCATCAACCACGAATGACACAGGATCTCACTGAGAAGCCCCTGATGCGGGCCCGTGCCATGCTGAGAATAATCACACTCTTCTGCTCTTCACGTCTCTCTTTATTAAGATCTGTGCGTAGTATACACAGGTATCTGGTAAACACATCCACTTACGGACACTGAACGCTTCACTGCAACAGGCAGGACAGATCGCTGTTTTTCACCACAACGCGCTCCTTTCTCAGGCTCATCAACTAAACAAATTGGGAGGCTGCTCTCATCCCAGCCTCCCTGCAGGCTTCCCACGGGCTCCTGAGCAGCCCCCACTGCAGCCTATGTGGAAATGCAAGCTTGTGACAGAAACCCGCAGGACTTGCACATGACGATGACAGACACACTCACATGTGTGCTTCCCAAGGGACAACCCTGGAGGCCGGCAGGGCAGAAACAGATACATCCACACCAGCACAGTGACACTCAGGAAGAAACCACCCACGGCTTTACAATCTGGTCATACTCCCTTCATCTATTACCTTCACCATCCAGGACTCCTGGGACTATGTACAGTGACATGGTATCTCTTTTCTGCTGACATGATAGGACGGACAATTCACCACCACCCCGGAGCTGCTTCCCGCATGCCAAAGGGGATAAGATAAAAGTCTCTGTCTCATGACAAAAACGGTACATACAAATTAAAACTTAAAAAAAGGTAAAGACATGACACTGAAGACTACCTACAAGGTTAGTTCTTTGTAGAGACCACAGGCTCTGGAGACTGAAGAAACTCATAAGGGTCGTGGGTCACATCCGGCTGCTCCCCAACACTAAGGCGAGAAGGACTTCCTGCAATTTTGAGAAAAACAGGGCATGATAGATGAGAAAAACAACACACATGATAAATCTGCAATACAGGGTTCGTGGAACCAAAAATGTCTGTCCATGTGGCCCAGTGCTAGCCAGGCCCAGGACCCGCTGACAGCCACAGCTCCTAGGACACAGGAGCACCTGCTCACTCACTCCCCAGGGAGAGGGCATTTCCTTACGGACGGGCTGGGCTGTCTGTCCAAATACTTAGGGGGGGGGGGGTCGGCCCCAATCCTCGACATAGCATGGCTGTGCTCCTACAGGAAAGAAAGCTCTTGGGCCAGGGGTCTCTCAGACAAATCCTGGACCCCAAGCAGCTCTGGTGTCCTCTCAAGAGTCACACTGGGACATTAGGGCCTCAGGTCTTGAACTGACCCAGGGTCACCAGAACCTGCTTCAGGCTCTACTTGGTTAATGCCTTGATCACAAGGTTGATGGGACTGAAAATACTGGTACTTCTTCAGATACCTGAGCTAAACAAAACAGACAGCTGAAGCTGACTTTTTTCTTGGAAAAAAATGTCATGATTCATTACGCTGAAAGGATAATTCAGCACAGATCTCCTCACCTAACGATGGTGTTTCATCCCAAAAAACCCATCTTAAATTGAAAATACCTTAAGCTGAAAATGCACTTAATACACCTAACCTACCGAACATCTTAGCTTAGCCCAGCCCACCTCAAGCATGCTCAGAATGCTTCCATTAGCCCACCACTGGGCAAAATCACCACCACAAAGCCTGCTTCACATGTCGTTTACTAGGTACCGCACTGAGTGTGAAAGCAGAGCAGCCGTGTGGCACCTGGAGTGTGGATTCGCACCACTGCAGAACTGAAAAACCCTGAGTAGGATCCTCAAGTTGAAGACCGTCTGTATTTCTATGAGAACAAAAGACCAGCCAGAGACACCAGCCAGAAACACTCAGGCACATTCCAGGAGCCACAAAGCTGACGTGTGGTGCTGACATCCCAGCCAGCTGTCAGAGGGTGCTGGCCTGTCTCTCCATCCACAGCAGCCCTCAGCCAGGAACGGTCACACGCACTCCAACAGAAATGCTGAAAACCAGGATTCACAGAGGAACCGTGACTGGGACACATGGCTTAGGACTAAAACCTAGAATGGCAGAAAGAGCCATGGGGACAAGTTTGGAGTAGAAACACAGTCCCCAAGCCAACTCCACGCATGGCCTTGAAGCTCCTGCAGCTTCTCACTCTGGCTTGTGCCCGGGCTGTGAGCCCTGGGATGCTGTGACGAGAGGACGTCAGAGGACATGAGCTAGGCCTGAAGTCCACAGAATCAACTAAACTCCGCTTAAAACCTCCTGCCCTGTGAAGCTGCCTGGCAGGGGAGCACGTGCGCTAAGCCTGGACCCCCACCACCCTCAGGCTCCCACCCCTGGAACCCCCAGTCTTTCTGGAGTCCGAGGCCTCAGTGCGAGGCCCGCCTTACCCAGGTGGTGCTGGTCCCTCTCGGAGGCATTGGACAGGGAGCTGAGGTTGGATGATGGCCGGGAACCCCCACGCTCTGCCTGCGCTTCATGCAGGTCCTGCAGCAGCTTAGTTGTCTCGTCGAAGTTCAGGTGGCTTTCGTCGTGGTCCAGCTCCTTCTTCACTTTCCCTGTAAACATGGAAACAACCGGATGCTGCTGAGCTTGGCTGGCCCAGCCCGAGGGCAGGAGCGCACAGGCGGCAGTGCAAGGAGGGCCAGCACTGGCACTGTCCTCCATCTTCTCTCACTCGCTCCAAGACTTTCATCACCGCTGTGAAGCCAGAAGAGCCATAGCAGGTGAGGCTCACGAGCCTGGAGGACAGGGCAACCCAGTCAGTGTGGGCAGAGGGGGAGGCAGCCTTGTGGGGAGAGGCAGCAAGCGCCCAGTGTCCTGGACTCCAGCGCCACCTCGAGTCTGAGCCACTTTTGCACAAACAACGTGGAGAGCTTCAGCTGCGAGGAAGGGCGGGACTGTTGGCTTCCTGCCATCAACAGAGGCCTGCAAATGCCGGCGTACCCCCAGCTCACTGCCCGGGCCACAGGCAAGTAGGGACCCAACAGGATCAGCTGAGGTCCAGAAAAGGTGAGTTACCCAGAGAGTAACCCAAGGACCCTCATTTGCTCCCAAGTCTTGGCAAAGCACCGACCTGAGCCTGTGTGAGAAGGCACGACTGGGCAAGATGCCCCAACACAATTGCTGGACAAGTCCGAGAGCTCGCACGCATCTGTGACAGCCTGCATCCCACCAGCCAGGGGTCCAGTCACGCCCTGGGAAGTGGGCAGCCTAACAGGAGCCCACCTTTACCCCATGACAAACGTGGCTCCGGACCCACTCTCACAACACTTGAATGGGGTCTGACGGACCCCAAGTCACCCAATGGCCTCAGACCAAAGGCCACCACAATTCAAAGGTGTGCAACCCAATCTAGCTCCCAGCAGCGTACACTGTGTCTGGCACCCAATAAACTACCAGGCATGCCAAGCAGCAGGAAAACACAACCCAAAGCCCAGGGGAGAATCAATACATGAGATGAGGGCATCAGCAGACAGGGTCACAAAAACAGCCACTGGAAATGTGCTCTAAGCACCACACAGGCAGTGGAGATGTGGCGCATGAGGCAAGATGGGGAAGAAAACATCAGGAAAGCCGAACAGAGCTTCCAGAGACAAAAAAAGACAACTGTAGCAAAAGCCACAGGGATCTCAAGTACAGGAACCGAGACCCAGAAAAGGGCGGGCTGGTGACTGCTGAAGAATGTAACAAAAGCTGTAAACCCTAGGTCTGAGAAGCTGAACAAAACCCAAGAAAAATAAATCTGAAGACAGACGAACCAAGGCACATCTTAACCAAACTGCTGAAAAGCGGTCATAAAAATAAAATGTTAGAAGTGCTGAAAAAGAGGAGTTGATGTGCGGAAAAGTGCTACGAAAACCCTGGGTGCCGAGTCTCCAGTGAGTTCAGCGCATCCCACGTGACTCCACTGGGAGGGGACACTGACCTCACCCCACACGCCTTCTCCCTCTGCTGGTTTTGCTCCACGTCTTTTTGCTGTAACAAGACATAGCCATGAATCCTCCTAGCAAATCAGAGAAGCAGAGGGTGGTCTTGGTGACCCCGACACAGTTGAGGAAATAAAACAAATAGCAAGATGGTAGACTTGAATCAGTCATATTGGTAACTGCACTAAATAAAATGGTCTGAAAAGACCCTAAAAAAAAAAAAGGCAGACCATGTGAGCTCAGATGACAAAGCGAGGCTTCACTCTGTGGATCTTTAAAATAGTTTCACGAGATCCACTTTAAATGCCAGGCAGGGCTTCTCAGCCTTGGCAGACATCGGGGCAGGGTCACTGTTCGTACGGGAGGACATGAGAGACACCCAGTGGGCTCTCCCCACTAGATGTCAAAAGCACCCATTTTGTGACATTCTGTGACAACCAAAAATGTCTCCAGGCATTGCCACATGTCCTCTGGGGTGGGGCGGGGGGGGGCTCTGAGGTAAAGCAGACACAGTTGAAGTGAAAGGAGGAAAGAGACACCACAGGAAAGCTAGGAGGCTGGAACGGCTTATCACTGTCAGGCAATTAGAGTTCCAAACAACACACGTTACATGGAACAGAGGGCACTGCCTAATGGTGGAGGGGTCGGCTATTCATGAGGTCACGTCCTCTGGGCATGGTGCACTAACGGCCAGCTGGCACAGCGGCCGTCACTGTTGAGTGAGCAGGACTGAAGCCATGTTGGGACCTAAAACCACATGGGCTGTAGGCAAATTTTAAAAAGGCAGTTTTCTTCCTGGCATGCATTTCTCTGAGTTCCTTCTTCCCCATGGTTATTTGATATTTTAAACCTTGGTAATGGGGCAAGATGACATTTTTTACATGAATGTAAATTGTTTTCTAGCCAGCCTTGAAGCTGTAGACTCGCACATACTACACAGACCCCGAGATAACAGCAAAGATTAGAGCAGAAACCAGACGAGGCTTTGGTGAGACCTTGCACCTGACTCGTAGACATGGACCCCTCGTAGCTCACGTGACCCTCCCTGCTGCTTTTCATTTCCCACACTCCATTCCCTCAACCCCCTCTTAAAAAACCCCTCAGTAAACCTGAGTCTGAGATGGCTTTAGTGTGGCCACTCTCCTACAGGCGTACTGGAGAGATGGGATAGCCCGACATCTCCTTCAGCTGAATATACGTGCTTTTCTAAACACCATTTGACTGCTGAGCCTTTTTTACTTTCCTTCTTGAGGGCGCAGGAAGCTGGACCTGAGTTTGATAACATCACCACATGGAATCAGCAGGCTCCGAGGACCCCAGCAACCGTAAAGGTATAGTCTGAAGTCAGAAAGGAGATGCAAGCAAGCCCAGTGTGGAGCCATCTGGGAGGTTCCACACAGGACAGTCCCAAAGACAGCAGGGTCCTCACTCTATAGCCAACTGGCCAGACCAGGCCATCTGGAAATGCATATACCAGGGACCAGCAACACAGAGGTCATTTCTTTCTAGCCAAGCCTGATAATCTGACGAAGGGGCTCTGAAGACAAACCCTGCTTCTTCTACTCTCACTCTCAATGCAACACTTCTGACTCCAGATGTGGGGTTTCCCACATGCTGCACAATGCTCCAGCAGACACAAGCTGGGTGTACTCCACTTAAACTCTGACACTGTCGATCTAGAGATGGCATCAGATCCCACGGGCTGAGTGCTCGGTTCCACAAGACTGCCCCACTTCAGACACCAGTAGCAAGCTTCAGGTTATTATGTCTGTGCTTCTGACCAGCCAGCTGTAAAATCGGAGTTCCCATGACTACCCCCTCAGGTTCGGTTAATTAAATACTTGATACCCATTTATCACAAAGGACACCCATGAAGAGACGCACAGGGCACAGTGTGGGGATGGGTGCAGAGCTCCCATGCCCTTTCTGGGCAGCTGCCCTCCTGGAACCTCTGAGGACCCAGCATCCTAGAAGCTCTTTGAACCCAGTCCTTCTGGGTTTATGGAGGCTTCTTTAGCAGGCATGACTGATTCCTTGCCATTAGCGATCAGCCAGCCCCTACCACCCTGAGGCTATCCAGGAGTCTCCAGCCACCACCTCATTAGTTTTCACAGAGACACTTATTACTTTGGAAATTCCAAGGGTTTTAGGAGCTCTGTAACAGAAACCAGGGTCAAAGACCAAATATTACACAAGATTCTCCCAGAGCCCCTATCTAGTCAGGAAGAGGGGACAGCAGAGACCTAATATTGATTTATTTTTATATCCCAATATCACAGGGACAGAGGTATGGCAGTGAGCAGCCACTACTCACCCAGAGAGCTGAGCATGGAGATGTCCAGAGAGACGTCAGAGTACGGCTTCATAGACATGAAATCCAGAACAGAGCCACCACCATCTCCCAGGGTGTCCCCAACCTGCACAAGACCAGAGGTATGGCAGTGAGCAGCCACTACTCACCCAGAGAGCTGAGCATGGAGATGTCCAGAGAGACATCAGAGTACGGCTTCATAGACATGAAATCCAGAACAGAGCCACCACCATCTCCCAGGGTGTCCCCAACCTGCACAAGACCAGACAAACATCAAGCTTCCATGAAGACACATAAACATTAAAAAAAAAAGAAAGAAACGTTACTTAATATCAATTTTTGAAATCACTGTAATTATTTCCTGAGCTTGGGTCCACTACAAATAAGTGAGGACAAGACCAGGCCCATTCACCGAGGAAGCTTCTGCAGTCCAAGGAGCCGTCTGTTTGAGCTCACGAATGAATGTGCAAATCCATGTCCAAGAAAAATCTACTCAGACCAAAAATGCCAAGGAATCCTTTGCTAACTTTTTGGGAATCTACAGAGAGCTAAAGGAATTTGGGAGAGACACTATGCTGTCGGTAGACACACAGAATCTAAAGGGTCCATGACCATCGTTCAGGAATTTCACACAGCAAACAATGTGGCAGATTCCCAAACCAAGGCTTTTCCTTTCCTTCTCCCAGCGAGGGGTGTCCTGAGGGAGCTCCACAACTACCCCCTTGGCTCTCTCTGCTCCGCCCCCTGCAGTCCAGCTTTTACACTCAGGACCATGCTAAGGGCTCTCTCAAAGTTCCCAAAGACCCCAGACCAAACCCCACACGTAGCAATTGCCCAAGGCCCACATTTCACTGCAGGATCCAGGGCCGCCTCCCTGAAGACAGGTTCTGTGCTGAGCTCCCCACTGCACCCAACCCACCGTGCCACAGACAACACTTGCTACTTGCCAGGCAGGCCCCAGAGTGGGCCCACACCCACCCACCCCTTGCAGGGTGTCCCGTGAGGAAAGCACCTGGCAGTGTTGTTGTTTTGAAATTCCTGTTTCTGGATTTGGAAGAATGCATCGTGGCTCACCTCAGGTTATTAAAGAAAAATGGGGAGACATGATCACTTAATCTTAATCATCAGAAAATCAGTTTCCAATTTAAATAATACACGAAGCTTTTCTCCATCATCCCACTCCAAAGGCTGAACACAACTGTCTCTGCATGAATCCTAATACTAAGCTTTTACCTACATGTCCAAAAAACTCACCTTTACTTCGTCTGGAGGTTTCATGGGAACATTTCTCCTCTGCAAAGTAAAACAGGTGAGAAACCAGTTTTTCCAGAACAGATTAATATAGAAGGACAATATATTCATATCACACACACACATACATAAAATAGAACCAGCTCTTTCGCTGCTCTCCATGTCCACACTACACTAATGGGTTAAAGCTGGGGGTCTTGCAGGGCCTCTTCACAGCTGGCAGCCAGCACCCCCACTGGCCCACTCATTCAGCACCAGCCAAGACCCCAGTGGACTGAGCTGGGGAGAGCCCCCCATGGGGGTGGGATGGAGATGAGGGGTAGAAAGGACACTCAATGCTGTTCCTGCAGCCCTGGATGGTTTAAAACACAAGAAAAAAGTCAGATGTGGTGCTCAGATCCCCAAGGGCAGCTCAGGTAGAAACGGGCCTGGTGGTCTAACCTGCAATATCATCAAGCACCTGAGATGGGCTGTCGTCCTGGAGGAGGCAGGCGTGCTCAGGAACAGAGGAGCTGAGCACTCAGGGCACCCCTGCTGCAGGTGGGCTGGGTGTGGGTCCTGTGTCCTGCCCTTAGCTTACCACACTATTGGCCCCCACAGCCCCCTTGTCCCGTGCTCTGGAAGGAGCATTACAAGTGCTCTAGTTTTGCATATGTGCCTCAAAAAGTCCTTTGGCACTCGCTCTTTCACGTCTGTGATATTTGTTCAAAATAATGTTTCTGAGATTCACTTATGATTTTCACCAGCTTTCAGTTAGAAAATAAATATTGCCATTCCACCAGGAGCCAGGAGCCAAAACATTCTCAGAAATCAAGGAAGGTGGAGAGTCACGTAAACCCCACCCAGCCAGGGCAGAGGCCTCGCTAAAAACTCGCAGTCAGGGGAAGCCTCAGCAGGGCCACTCCTTAACATTAAGGACAAACTAGCCCTCGAGTAAATGCTGCCCTAGGCCCATCCTAACAAGCCTCAAAACAAGCCTGATAGGACCCAGTGACTAATCCACAAGTAACTTAATGCTTTGCAAAAATGAACATCAATACTCTTAAAAGAAAACAAAATCCAGACCAGCCTTGTCCAACAAAAATATAACATAAACATATATCTTATTTTAAATTTTCTATTAGCCACATTAAAATTGTGTAATTAATTGTAACATTTTATTTAATAATCCAATATACTGGAGTTTTATTCCAACATGTAATCCATATAAAATAGTCAATGACATATTTCTACATTCCTTTTTTTGTATTAGTCTTTAAAATTCCAGTATGTAGTTCACACTTACGACACATTAAAACTCAAGCTCGCCACGTTTAAATTTCCCAGTGGCCACATGTGGCTCGTGGCTGTTTATTAGACAGTGAGGATCTAGACTCTCAACATGGTAACACAATGCCTGGAATCCATCAAAAACTGCTAGACTCGGGCCGGCCCGGTGGCGCACTGCTACAGTGCGCCGCTTGGGAGTGCAGTGGCGCTCCCGCCGAGGGTTCGGATCCCACATACAGACCGGTTCCCACTCACTGGCTGAGCGAGGTGTGGGAGCAACACCGAGGGTTGCCGGACACGAAAAAAGACAAAAAAAAAAGGAAAAAAAAAAAAACAAAACTGCTAGACACAACAAAGCAGCCAACTGTGACCTGTGACCATAGGGACATCTGTCAACAGAAACAGATCAGAAATGAGATGAGAGATTTAGTGAGTAAGGGCTTTATAAGGAGCTGTAATAAACATAAACATGCACAAAGATTTAAAGGAAAACATGAGCGTAATATGAAGAGAATGGAAAACACAAAAAAAGAACCAAATGGAATTCTAGAGATGAAAAACACAATGCAGGTATACCTTGGAGATATTGCGGGTTCGGTTCTAGACTACTGGAGCAGAGCAAATATCACGATAAAGTGGGCCACAAACATTTTGGTTTCCTGATATAAAATTATGTTTATAGGGTAAAAACTTCAAGACATTGGTCTGAGCAAAAAATCTATGGAGAAGACTTCAAAAGCACAGACAGAAAAAAATAGACATATGGGATTATATCAAACTAAAAAACTTTTGCACAGCAAAATAAGCAATCAACAAAACGAAGAGGCAACCAGAAGAATGGGAGAAAATATTTGCAAACTGCTCATCTGACAAGGGGTTAATATCAGAGTATACAAGAAACTTAAGCAACTCAAAAGCAAAAATAAAAAAAATAATAATCTGATTAAAAAACGGGCAACAGACATTTCCCAAAAGTAGACATACAAATGACCAACAGGCATATGAAAAATGCTCAACATCCCTAATTATCAGGCAAATGCAAACCAAAACCACAAGATACCATCTCACCCCAGATAGAGTGGCTATTATCAAAAAGACAGAAAATAACAAATGCTGGTGAGGACGCAGAAGAGGAACCCTTATACACTGTTGGTGGGAGTAAATTAGTACAGCCACTATGGAAAACAGTATGGGGGTTCCTCAAAAAACTAGAAATAGAACTACCTTATAGATCAGCAATCCCACTGCTGGGTACTGATCCAAAGGAAAGGAAATTAGCACACCAAAGAGACACCTACACCCCCGTGTTTACTGAAGCACTGTTCACAATCACCAAGGATATGGAATCAACCTAGGTGTCCGTCGACGGGTGAGTGGATTAAAAAAATGTTGTGAACACACAATGGACTACTACTCAGCTACGAAAAAGAATAAAATCCTGCCATTTGTGGCAACATGGATGAACTCGATAGACATTATGTTAAGTGAAGTAAGCCAGGCACAAAAAGAGGAATACCACGTTCTCACATGTGGAAGCTTAAAAAAAAAAGAAGTGAGTTTTTAGAAGCAAAGACTAGAATTGTAGTTACTAGAGGCTGGGGAAGGAAGGAGATATAGGGAGATGCTGGTTAATGGATACAAAATCATAGCTACACAGAAAAAGTAAGCTCTGGTGGTGTATAGTACTCCTAGGCATCTATAACTTAAAAAAATTTATATTATGTTCTCAAATGGCTAGAAAAGAGGAGTTCAAATGTCTTTGTCACAAAGAAAATAACGATAAATTCTGTTGTATTAAATATGCTCATAAGTATGCTAATTACCAATTTGATCACCACATACTATATACAGGTATTGAAATATAACTCTGTACCCCATAAATAGGTACAATCAATGTGTCAATTAAGAAACAAATTTGAAAATAATTTAATTAAAATTACATTTATGCTATACTATATTAAGTACACAACAGCATCATGTCTAAAAGCAATGTACATACTTTAATTAAAAAATACTTTATTGCTAAAAAATGCTAACGATCATCTGAGCCTCCAGCGAGTTGCAATCTTCTTGATGGTGGAGGGTCCTGCCTCGATGTTGGTGGCTGCTGACTGATCAGGGTAGTGGCTGCTAAACGCTGGAGTGGCTATGGCAATTTCTTAAAATAAGACAGCAGTGGAAGTTTGCCATGTTGATGGACTCTTCCTTTCACGAAAAGATTTCTCAGTAGCAGGTGATGCTGTTTGAGAGCATTTTACCCAGGATAGAACTTCTTTCAAAATTGGAGTCAGTTCTCTCAAACCCTGCTGCTGCCTTATCAACTAAGTTTATGTAATAGTCTAAATCCTTTGCCGCCATTTCAACACTGTTCACAGTGTCTTCACCAGGAGTAGAATCCATTTCAAGAAAAGAGATTTTGAAAAGAACCTGTTTTTCTGAGCAGTAGGTCTAAACAATGAGTAAGTAAACCATGCCGTAAACAGATGTGCTGTCATCCAGGCTTTGATATTCCATTTACAGAGCACAGGCAAGGTAGATTTAATTCTTAAGGGCCCTAGGATTTTTGGAATGGTAAATGAGCACTGGCTTCAAGTTAAAGTCAGCCGCTGCATTAGCCCCTAACAAGAGAGTCAGCCTGTCCTTTGAAGCTTTGAAGCCAGGCACTGACTTCTCTTTCTCACTGTGAAAGTCCTAGATGGCATCTTTTTCCAATAAAAGGCCATTTTGTCTACACTGAAAATCTGTTGTTTGGTGTCACTGCCTTCATCCATGATCTCAGCTGGCTCTTCTGGGTGACCTGCTGCAGCCTCTACGTCAGCACCTGCTGCCTCACTCTGCACTCTGATGTCATGGAGATGGCTTCCTTCCTTAAACCTCATGAACCAGCTTCTGCCGGCTTCAGACTTGTTTTCTGCAGCTTCCCCACCTCTCTCAGCCTTCACAGAACTGAAGGGAGATAGGAGGGCCTACCTCTGGGTTAGCCTTCGGCTTAAGGGAACACTGTGGCTGGAGTGGCTTTTATCCAGACCACCGAGACTTTTCCTGCGTCAGCAGTGAAGCCGTTTCACGTTCTCATCACTCGTGTTCGCTGGAGAGGCACTTTCAATTTCCTTCAAGAATTTTCTCTCTGCAGTCACAGCATGGCTGTTTGCTCAGGAGGCCTCACTTTTGGTCTGTCTTGACTCTCAACACGTCTTCCTCACTGAGCTTCATCTCCAGCTTTTGATTTAAGGTGAGAGACCTGCGACTCTTCCTTTCGCTTGATCACCAAGAGGCCACTGCAGGGTTGTTAACTGGCCTAATTTGAATATCGTTGGGTCTCAGGGAACACGGAGGCCAGAGGAGAGGAAGAGAGAGGGGAACAGTCAGCTGGTGAAGCAGTCAGAACACACACATTTAATGCCTAAGTTCACCTTCTTACACGCGTGCAGATCGTGGCACCCAAAACAATTACAATGACCACATCAAAGGTCACTGACCACAGGTCACCAAGTGATGATAATGAGAAAGTCTGAAATACTGCAAGAATGACCAAAATGTGACAGACAGGAAGTGAGCACCTCTTGATAGAAGAAAGACACCGGCAGATCCACTCAATGAAGGGCTGCCACCAACCTTCAATTAGTTAAAAAAAACCACAATCATCTGCCAAGTGCAAGAGAGCAAGGTGCAATCTGATGAAGTCTGCCTATGTAGTAGCTCAGTACACACCTCACAAGCCAGGAGTTCATGACAACCTTAGACGTGCCTGAGAAGAGTTTAGTGAACAGGAAGCCATGACAACAGAAACTACCCAAACTAAAAAATTCAAAACCCCCAAAAAAGAACAGAACATAGTAACATGTGAAATAATATCAAGACACCAAACATGTACCAAAGACCCAGAAAAAAGAGGCAAGAGCAGAAATGATGTGTGAGCAAGTAACAGCTGATACCTTCCAAGAAAACTTGCAACTTTGATGAAAACTGTAAGCTGATAGATCCAAGAAACTCCACAAACTTCAAGCAGAATGAACATAAAGAAAGGAGCCCTAAGGCACATGGAAAATAAATGCTAAAGACCAGTGATGAAGACAGAAGTCGGAAAGCATCAGCGCTCTGGCCAGCCACTCTCGTGTAAAGGATGAGAGTAAACGTCGGAGGCTTCTCCAGCCACACCCTGTCTGTAGCCTTCTCTTATTTGTTAACGACCTTTTAAAAATGTAAAGACATTCTTAGCATGTGGCACGGACGAAGTAAGGCTGTAGGTCAGATCTAGGCCCCGAACTTTGACAAAGAAAGGCATGCTGCAAACGGAAAACTAGGATCACAAGGGCTACAGACGCCACAGAAGCAAGCAGGTCTGAAGTCATTCAAAGCACAGAGAAGGGGGAAAAAAAAAAAACAACGTAAAACCCCATGTCCAGGTAAAATGAATTCCAAAAATGAAGGCAAAGGAAAGACTTTCAGACAAACAACAGAAGCTGACAGAATTCACTGTCGGCAAATCTGAACAATAAGAAATACTAGAGTAAGTTCTCCAGGATGAAGGAAAATGGCAGCAAATGGAAGAAATCCAGGCACACAGAAAGCTGTGAGGAACACCAAAAATGGTGAATGTGCAAAAAAAGTTTCTTTAAAAGACAACAAACTATTTAAAGCAAAATTAAAAACCAATGAGGGAAGAATAGCTGGAGATTACCTAAAAACAGCACACTCTTCACTGAGAACCCACCCAGTCTGGATGATCTTGTACAAGGCACAACCCCCTGCGCAGCACACCTGCTTCAGCTGGAAGAGCATCCTTGAGTGGTCTCCGCCTGTGATCTGGTCCAAGAGGTCGTCCACCATTTTCTTGCTGTAACTCCCCGCATCCTTCACAAACTCCTGCAGGCTACAAGGGGACCAAGTGAGAACATGTTGGGAAAAAAGCTATGTACTCCAATTTCAGGATTTTGCAGCCTGCCAATTCTGGCAGTACAGATTACAGAAGCCTGCTGTCACACCTTGGCAGACCTTTCTCTGTGAACCTCTCAGCACGGTATTCTGGGGGCAGTAGATGGACAGTTGTCATTAGACTTTCAAAGTAGCCCATGACTCAAAAGTGTTAAAAAGATTCCAGGAAAAAAAAAAGCAAGACAAAGAACAATACATATACACATATACACACATACACAATACATATAACTACATACTATGTGCTATTCTTTTAAAAAATTCCTCTCTGCTGGTTTTGGATTTAAAATTACAGAGGTGGACCGAGTGAGCAGCCCGAGGCAACAAAGGCCAAGGAAGACGGCAGCGATGACGTGGAAACGGAGAGGAAGGTGCCTGACCAGCCCAGCTCTGTGAGCGACCCCCAGCCCGGCCCTGCAAGGGCAGACACCCATCCGGTTCCCGCCTACCACACCAGGCTAGGCACCGGCACCAGCGCTGCCTCCATTTTCTCGGGTGGGGACGGAGCCAGCCAGCTCGGCCAGGCTTGTCCTCCTCGCTTGGTGCGGCTCCTCACTGAGCCATGCCACTTGCGTGCCTCGGTGCGGGGCCCCCCAGGGACTGCGGACCGGCCTCCAATCCCACTCCCCCCGCGGATCTCTGGCGGGGCTGGTGGCGTGGGGAGCCCCTGGCCAGCGTCGGGAGGGCAGGGAAGAGGAGCCCGGCCAGATTGTCACTCCACCATACCCTGGGCTTTGGCCCCAGGTAAACTTCCTGTTTCGGGGAGGCAGATACCATCTCTGTGGCCATCAGTTCGGAAGAACCCTAAACTGACTTCTGGTTGGGAGAGGTGTGGCCGGAGCGCTCCCGAGCTCGCTTGAACCTGCCGGAGAGCTGACTGCCGGCGGGTGCCGGAGTCGGCCCGCGCTGGGGGGATTCAAAGAGGAACTGTGTGCTGTGGGATCCTCCCCCAAGGAGCTCATGCCCTGGTGTGGGAGATAACTCAACTATACAAATAACCGCAATTCCAGGAGGAAGGTGAGAAGCCCAAAGAAAGCCTTATCCAGGGCCACAAAAGCACCCAGAGCGACCCTAGCAGAAACCTGAAAGTCTTCCTGGGTGGGGCGGAGCCGAGCACAAGCTTGAAGTCCTGGCTGATAGACGAGGATTGCAGAAGACACGCCCCAGCCCTGTACTGAGCGCAGAGAGTGGGGAGGGGTCCGGCAAAGGAGGCGGAGACTCAGCAAAAAAACACACACCCTGCGGACCGGCTCTGCAAGGTCCAACAGCCCCACCTAGTGCATACAGAGTGGGGAAACACCCGGATAGCGAGGCGGAGACTCCGCAGAACACACATACCCTGTGGGGCCGCCACTGTATAATCCACCAGCCAGGCCAGAGCGCACAGAACAGAGAGAAGTTCCACACGAGAACTGGAAGCTCAAGAGACCACACACCCTGAGGTACCGTCCTGAGATCCAGCAACCCAGTAAAGTCCAAGCTGACCAGAGAGGAGGCTTCCCGGGGAGGCCCAAGACCGGAGGCAAACACACACACAAGACACTAGAGGCCAACTGAGCAGTCACAGAGGTAGCCATACC